GTGATCGAGCGTTATAGAAGGCAAAGATGGAAGAAATAGGTGCTTTGTTTCTGGCGGCGAACGGTGGACGTGGAAGTCCCCGCTGGGGAGGCGGGGGCAGGCGGGCCGGGCGCCTGCAGGGTCGTTGGGATGAGGTCCAGGCCTGTCTCCGCCACCTCGCTCCCGTTTTGGACCCGCGAGCGGCCGGTCTCCGCGTCTGCGTCGGGATCCCGCCTCCGGGGGCACTGCTCGTGCACGGGCCCCAGGAAAGCGGGAAAACCACGCTCGTCCATGCCGTGACGGCCCATGTGGCCAGGTCCCCGTGGGCGGTGGGGACGGTGTGGGTGCCGTGTTTGGCTCTCCGGGGGCTGAAAATGGAGGCGGTGCTCCAAGCATTGGCGGGCGCCATGGCCCAAGCGGCGGCCAAAGCGCCCGCACTCCTGGTTTTGGACGACTTGGATGCCCTCTGCCCGGCGGAGAACGAGGAAGCAGGAGAGGCGAATGTACAAGCGGCCGAGATCGCCGAGGCCATCGGGAAGATGCTGGAGGAGGCGCGGGAGGAGACGAGAGTCCGGGAGGAGGTCATGAGGGTGGCGGCGGGGGGGGCAAGGAGGCTGTGGCAGGCGGGACCCGGCGCCCAGGGAGGGAGGGAAGGAGCGACGGAGGTAGGGGAGGAGCCGGGCGCGGGGCAAACAATGTCACCTGTCGCAGGGGAAGGGAAGGGGGAAAATCGCATCGAGGCTGGCACGTGGTCCAAGCCGCCATCCGAGGCCTGGGTCATCTTGGGAGCTGCCGCCGTGAGTAGTGCGGTCGCCCTGGTCGCCACCGTCCGGGACCCCAGCCTCCTCCACGCTTCCCTTCGTCGGCCCGGCGGGGTGGAGGCTTTGGTGGAAATCCCCCCCCTGGACGCCAAGGCCCGCGAGGCAATCTTGGCCGCGCTCCTCGCCCAGCACTCCAGCAACCATTCTTTCCCCTCCTCACCCTCCCTTGGGCCCTCCGCCCCGCCCTCCCCTGCCCGGCCTGCGCCCGACCGGCCCCTGTCCGTTGTCCCCGGCGTCGACGTGGCCGAGCTGGCCGCCCGGTTGGAGGGATGCACATCCCTCGACCTGGAAGTCCTGGTTACCCGGATCCTCCACGCGGCCGTCGGGCGCTCGTTGCGCGAGCTTGGTGACACGGCCTCCGCCTCGACCGTCGATCCCCGCCCGGCCGTCCTCCCTGCCGACGTCACTGACGCCTTGGAAGGCTTTAGCGCTGCCTCCCATCGGAACGCCCGCCTCTCTTCCTCCGGCACGAGCTGGGCCGACGTGGGTGGTCTGGAAGAGATCAAAAACGAAGTGCGCGAGATTTTGGAGATGCCCGTAAAGTTCGCCCCTCTGTACGCCCGCCTTCCCACCCGCCTGCCCACAGGTCTGTTGCTGCACGGGCCACCGGGGTGCGGTAAAACCCTGCTGGCAGGGGCGGTGGCGCGGGAGTGTGGGCTGAATTTCATCTCGATCAAGGGGCCTGAGGTCTTGGACAAGTTCATCGGAGCCAGCGAACAGGCGGTTCGGGCCCTCTTTGCCAGGGCCACGGCCGCCGCGCCTTGCCTCCTGTTTTTCGACGAATTCGAAGCCCTGGCGCCGCGGCGTGGGAGCGACAACACGGGCGTCACGGACCGGGTGGTGAACCAGTTGCTCACTTTCTTGGACGGGGTGGAGGGCCGGACGGGTGTCTACGTGATGGGGGCGACTTCCCGACCCGACCTGGTGGACTCGGCGCTCTTGCGTCCGGGTCGTTTGGACCGGCAACTCTACCTGGGGTTTCCTGACGCGGGGGAAAGCTTGGGTATTTTGAAGGCTTTGGTGCGGAAGATGAGCTTGACGCCCCAGGCTACGGCCGCATTGGAAAAGGTGGCCTTGGCGGACGGGGCGGACCTGATGACGGGGGCGGACTGGCAGGCCATGGTCAGCACGGCGCAATTGGAGGCGGTGCATGAGAAATTAGCGGCTATGGGGACGACTAAGACGGGCAATGGAGCGGGTGGAGAGAAGGAGAGCAGTCAGGGCGGGGATGGAGGGGAAGGGGTGGTGGTGACCGCACAACATCTGTGGGCAGCTTTTGCAGCCACCCGCCCGTCGATACCACCGGGGGAAAGGGCAAAGCTTCAGGCCATTTACGACAAGTTTCGGAAGTCTCGTGATGGGGATTACAAAGTTGCGAGCGCCACAGACGACGGGAAACACTTGCGGACAGCCTTAAAATGAGAGCCTTTCCATGTTAAATACCCAACCATGTAATTAGGGACGAGACGCCGTCAAAGGAAAAAATGCGCGTCGTCCCACCTTTGTTCTATCATGATTTATTTCTTCTGTTTACATGCCGGCGTAATTTTCCAGCGCACATCCTTTTCCAAGGAGAGAGCACTCACTCGCATTGTACGTCACACAAGAGCTTGCGCGTAGAGTGTAATCTACTACTTTTACTCGTCCTTTCAGCCATCCTGTGAAAATCTCTTTAATCTGTACACCCACAACCCCCAGATGATTCATTCATGTTAAGTCCACACTATTGTTTGAGGGTTTGGGCTCCCTGTTGCTGCGACAGAACCTGGTAATCATGGCGATGGCCCTAATAAGCTGTACCTCGCTGTCGCCTCGCTTACTTCTTCATACCGCGTTACTGAAAAACATGTCCCCAAACTTTGTCAATCCTGACATGAAGCTGACAGCCACAAACGCGGTGAACGAGCATGCAATGATCATGTTGTGAAAAGGGAGGGATTAAGCCCAAACGGGGCAATTTGACAGTGACATAGACTCAGGCTAGCGTGACAGGACTCGACCAACATCGGGTAGGTCACGGTGGAAGGCCACGCACTGTAAAAAGGATAACTTTATCCAGGTTGCCCATTCAGTCCGCGGGCACATGAATTGACACCGCCGTCAACATTCCACGAACTGAATCCTATTGCCAGTGATTTTGACGGGCGTGCACTTACCCGTCTCGCTACCTCACAGAAGGAAAAGAGGGGCTTAACGCAGTCATATCTTAAGCCTTTTGCTCCATTGTATCAAGGCCCGGTACCAGCATGAGCAGCGGTGGCGCGCAGGGCCAGACGCCCATGCAGAGGCTCACGATAATGAAGGACAACGTGCTTAAAAAGGTGGAGCGCCAGATGGAACAGTACCCCTCGCTCACGATGCGTTCCTCGCTGTTGGACATGGAGAAGAAAGTGAATGTGCCAGCCCCTGCACTGTTCATCCTTGGCAGCTCATCTCTGGTCCTTCTTTTGGTCCTTCTTGTTAGCATGGAGGGCGTCGCGTAAGTCGTAGGCAGGAATGTGCTGTTGAAACTCTCTTCTTTGTGTGTATTAGCCCTGATTGGCTAAATTAAATTCACTGGGCTCTTGCCTCCCGCGGCGACCATGTCCGGCCAGCATATCTCACTTCACGCCCCTCAATTCCTCGAGAAGAATCGTCCCTCATGAATGGATGCACAATACGAATCCCAATACACATTCTCACCCCTCCCCGTCGCTTCCCCGGGCCCTCAGGCTCCTGGTCGGCTTGGCCTACCCACTCCTCGGCGCCCTCAAGGCCATCAAGGTGCAGGAGGCGCACGTCATCAAGTTCTTCATCCAATACTTCCTCCTCTTCAACGCCCTGAATCTGTTGGAGACCTTCCTGCCTCTCAGCCGTCTCCCTTTGTACTACTTGGGGAAGCTCCTCTTTCTGGCATGGGCGTTCAACCCCAAGACCCAGGGCGCCCGGCTCGTCTACGGCACCCTCCGCCCCCTCCTTCTTCCCCACCTCGGCATCGCTTTGGGTGCATCCGGGGCCGAGCAGTCGAGGCCTGGGGGAGGAGGCAGGAAGCGAGGGGGAGGGAGGGAAAACACGGGGGAGGGGAGGTTCGGGGCCCGGGACGGGAGCGGGGAAGGTGCGAGCATCCACCTTCGCATCGAACTCGCAGCCCGGGGCTTGGAAAAGCCGGCGGAACCCGAGCGGCTGGACACTCTGTGCCAACTCCGCATCCTGCCCATGACAGGTGGGCACAGCGAGGTCCGGAGAGCGGCCCTGGACGAAGGCCAGTGGTACAAGAGTCGGATCAACACCGCGCCTCCCCAAGACGCCCCCGACTGGCGACACGACCCACAATTCCTCCGCGTCCCGACCACGGAGGATAACGTCTTGGAGGTGTTGATTGTGAATAAGATGAGTTGGAGGGACCATCCCTTGGGCCGGGTGCGCCTGCCTCTGAGGGGGCTCTCTTTTCCCATCGAGACCACATTGCCCCTT